GCTTTCACCCAGCCCCTAGAGCCTGGCACTTTGAACTCAGACTTAAAGCCTCCAAACTGTAAGAGAATAAATTCCTGTTTCTTCAAGCCATCCCATTTGTGGTGTAGTTTTTAATTATTAATTAATTAAAATTGTGATTTGGGTGAAAGTTTACAGAACAAATTCACTTTCCATACTGCAGTTCACATACACTTTGTCTCACAACATTGACTACAATTTAGCACAATGCAACAGCTCCCCTCCCACTTCCTCCCTATAGTTATCTCTTCCCTGTGTCCATCCCTCCATGTACCCCTGCCCCCTGAACTGTCTCCCTGTGCATACACAGCCCTTCCTTCTCCCATGATTGATCTCTCCAAGGAGTGTATCTATCTCAGGGAAATGTTCAACTCATAAGCCTGTCTATTGTTGGCTGGAAGCCACAGGTGTGGGTTCAATTCCAGACCTGAAGGGCAGCTACGGGCCATAGTCTCAGTGGTTCCACCAGGCTCTATCGGACCAGCAAACCTGGTCCCCTTATGGTGTATTCTTGTCAGGGTGGTACTAGGGAACCAGAGCAATCCCCGTCTCTTGCCCCCTGGAGTGGCTGGAGGATTCAAACCACCAGCCTTTCAGTTAGCAGGTAAGCTCTGAACCACTGTGCCGCCAAGGCCCCTGAATGCCAGACTTGGACATTTCCCTCAGCTCTCTCCCAAAAGCACCTCAGGCCCCAATTCCGGATGTCTCAAACTGACCCTTGTTGTCCCCCGACATTTAATGAGACCATGAAAGCCACATCCCCCACATGAAGGAAAAAAAAATTCCTGTTAGGTCACTTCTACCTTGTGGCGACCCCATGTGTGTCCGAATGGAACTGCTGGTAGGGTTTGCTTGGCCGTCATCTTTATGGTAGCAGATTACCAGCCCTTTCTTCCACGGCACCTGTAAATGGGTTTGAACTGCCAACTTTTAGGTTAGGTGAGTGCAACCATTTGTACCACCCAGGGACCCACATGAGGCAGGTACTGCTGACATCCCCATTTTTACATAAGGAGGCAGGCACAGAGTTCAATAATGTGTCCAAGTTTCCACAGCTTGTAAGTGAAGCAGTCTGCATTTGAACACAGGACTCTGGCTTCAGAACACATGTAGTTAGCCGTGTTGTTAAATGGCCTCTGTGGAGGCCGCCACCCTCCCATCTCTATCCTCTCCCTAAGCCCATTTCAGCCTTCTCGCTTCCCTCCCGCACTGCAGGGATAGACTCCTTCATGGCCTCTCCGCCCTTCTCGCTAATTTACCGGCACAGGCAGCCAAAGTGGTCTTTCTAAAACCTAGACCTGATGTCATCACTCCTCAGTCGAAAGGTTCCCACGTCGCTCTTCAGGACAAAGTCGAGACCCTCTGACCTTGCCTGAAAGCCCTTTACCACCTACCTCTAGCCAATGTTTTAGTCCCGCCCTCTCCCCTCCCTCATACCAGGGGCCTCCCTCTCCCAGAAGTCCCCACTGTTCCCTGAACAGTCCGTGTTCATGCCTTCCACATTCTCCAGCACCTCTGGCTCTACCTTCTCTCAGCCCAGGAAACTCATGTTCATGCCTCAAGGCCCAGCTGGGGGACACCTCCTCCATGGTGTCTGCCTGGACTTCCCCGCTGGGCTCCCTCTTCTTCAGTCCTGCGGTACACACTCCTGCAGAGCCATCTGGTGAGCAAGCCCCATGCAAGTTATGTTTGGTTTTCCATGGCCTTGGGAGCAGGAACGGCAGACAGCTCCTTGCTTTCTGGGTCTCCAGATGCAGCCAGGGCCCGGCACAGGGCAGGCGTCTGCAGACACCGAGGTGGGATCTCCTGTGGCGTGTCTGGGCAGTCACTTCTTGCCTCACTTTCCTCTGATGGCAGAACAGCTCTGGCTTCTGAGCAGGTGGCCTAGGCTGACTCAGTGCCTGGCACACAGTAGGTGCTCAGTGAATGTTGACAGAAGTCAGGAGAGCAAGTGGGTAGGAGGCAGGTGCTTATAAAAGCCCAGAGCCCTTGCTTCTCTTTGGGCCAGTTAAGGTTATTGTGGTGCAGTGAGTTGCTTTTATAAGGCCCTTCCAACCACGGTCTCTTAACTCCCACAAAATGGAAATAAGGGGTGTAAAACTCTTGCAGGGATTGGACAGTGACTATGCAAATAAGGTGTCTGTGGCCTACCAAGGTGTTTTGGTTCCCTAGTGCTGCTCTAACAGAACATACCACAAGTGGAAGGCTTTAACAAACAGGAGTTTATTCTCATAGTTTGGAGGCTAGAAGTCCGAGTTTAAAGTGCCAGGCTCTAGGGGTTGGGTGAAAGCCCTCGCCCTTGGGCTTTAGCTCTGCTGCTTGCTCCCAGCCCACTGAAGCTAGAGGCTTTCCTCAACCAGGCAGCTACTGGCTGCTGAGGCTGACAAGCCCAAGGTTGACAAGTAAAAAGGCACAGTCCTGATGTTACCAAACCACACGGCAGGCCATTAATTCAAGTCCATTGAAAGCCCCAAGATTGGCAGAGCATGGCAGGCTGCTGAGTGAAGACTCAGTTACATGCAGGGTCCAAGCGTGCCAAAAGCTAGAGACCTTCCTCAAAGCTGCTTCTTATACACGGGAAGCAGACCACCTCCCTAAGGCAGCTACTCAGCTGCTCCCGCAGATTCTACCATGGAGTTGATGACCAGTCTCATCATGGGGAATAACTACCACCAGCTGCCCAGCCACTCAGCCAAGTTGATCTGTAACCTTAAGTACCACACAAGGGGATTGGTAGTTTTGCCATCTCACTAACCTTAAAAGAACCAATGCCAGAGGTTGGGGGGGGGGGCGCGCGCCTATCTTCAAGAACTGAGAGCAGAGAACTTCCTTTGGACCTGGGGTCCCTGCGTTGAGAACCTCCTAGACCTAGAAGCCAGTGAGAGCTATAACCCTGAACATTTCAAGAGACGGCAGCAGCAGGCATACATGGGTGTGGTGAGGCAGGCATTTCCTCTGTCTGTCCGTCTAGAGCGCTGCCCAGGCCCGTTGCTTCTCTGGGGCTGGATTTCTGAGGAGCGGTGCTGGGCAGGCAGCAGACAGTGGGAGCTCAAGGGCTGATGGGGGAACTGCAATAGTTGCCTGCACAGTCACATGTCCTGCCCAGGAGCACAGGCTCCCTGCACAGAGCTGCCCATCATCAGTCCCTGCTAGGCCTGATGGGACTCAGTCGTCCCACTCTAGAGCTCACTGAGGCCAACAGAGCTGCAAGTGCTTTGGAACAAACACTCAGAGAAGGTATCGTACAAACAAACAGGGTTGTTATTCGACCCAGCAGCGGGGTCAGAGGAGCAGGCATTGGGCAGGAGGGACAGCACCTGCAGGGAGGAGGGCGGTGGAGGTGGAGGCTGGGTCCTGGTGCTCCCAACACTTCCTCCCTGGGCCTCAGTTTCCTCCTGTGTACAAGGGGGAGGTGTGATCCTGCCTGGCTCCTGCCCAGTGAGGGTCCAGGGAGAGAGGAGGACATGGACAGGCTTTGCAAACTGTAAAGTGCAGTGCACACATGCAGGTGAAATGTAGTTTCGGGACCCAGGCCTGCTGGGCTCTGGGACTGGGGACAGTAGTGTTGGCAAGGAGAACAGTGTGTGTGGCCCGGAGCCCAGTGCTCTGAGCATGCTCAGATCCCCAACACCTGTTCCTCCTCCACTCAACTCCCGGCCTCTCTGCCCTCGAGGCAGCGGGGCAGATGAAGAGTCTGCTGTGGGTGCCTCATTCCCCAGCTCACGGCAAGGGCCCTCCATAGCCTCTGATCCCTGCAGAAGAGCAAGGAGTTGCTTGTAATGACCGAGTGCATCCCAGGATGGAATTGGCCCGGCCTCTTGTCTCTGATCCAGCCAATGAGGTCTCCTGTGTGTCTGGGTGAAGGCCATCCCACTGCCGTGTCAGCCCTGGTCTAGTGACCAGTGCCGGGTTCTTCCTCTTGATACCCCCATAGCCGCCAGCCAGGGGTGAGAGCAGCAGGGCAGAGGCCTGAGCCCTGCCAGCTGCCCCTCCTGGCTGGCTCTCAGCTTGGGAAGGGGCTGGGAGGAGAGGGTTGCTGGGAGAGCCCAGGCAGGGTCCCCTCAGAGCAGAGCCTTGAAGAGGAAGGACAGGGAAGCTCCACAGGAGAGCCCCAGGGCCAAGAAGAAAGTCATGAGGGCGCCGGCCACCTCCCGCTCCTGAGGCAGCACCTGCCTGGAACACACAGCGGGCAGAGCTGTTAGAACCCGAACCAGGGCCCAGCCCCAGTGCCCTCCACCCGCCACCCCCATCCCGACCGGCCACCTGAGGCTAATCCAGGCTCTGGCCCAACCTCTTGTGTAAGGCAATTTGGTCTCTCTTCTCTCTGGGCCTCAGTTTCTCAATCTGTAAATGAGACCACTGGACGAGGACAGCTCCCAGGGCCTTCAGGGGGCCGTCCCCTCCTGACAAAATGCCCCCAACCTGGTCCTCTCGTCACCTCAGCTCTCTCTGGAGTCTCAACTCTATTTCCTTATGGGAACAACCCCTGGTTTTGATCACAACCTTAGTTCCCCCTCAGCTGAGAATTTTAGAGCTAGGTGGGCCCTACGGGACAACAGTCCAACCCATTTATTTTCCAGATGGGGAAACTGAGGCCCAGAGAGGCACTGACGTGCCTGAGGTCCCACAAGCTCCCAGAACCAGTGTCCGGGCCATTGCCCTGAGCAAGTCCCCCAGTCTAGTGCTCCTCTCCCCAGCTTCCAACCTGGGTCGGCCCAGCAGGTAAGGCCTGACCCCATGGGGCGGTGCCAGCAGGGCCTGGGCCAGCCAGAAGCAGAAAGGCCCCTCCCTGGCAGGCTGCCACCCGTCCTTCCTTCCCCACCCCTCAGACCTGGGTGCCAGGCACATGGTGAGGGACACCAGGTAGCCGTTGGAGATGGCAAAGAGCAGCATGAACGTGATGAAGTAGGCGTCCTGGGGGAAGAGGATGGGCAGCCGGGACCTCTCGGGCACGTGGCACAGCATGAAGAGGGGCACAAACAGGAAACGCAGGCCGACCAGCAGGGGCAGCAGGCGGCTGTCCTCGTCTGGCTGCGGCAGAGACTGCGGTGAGTGTGGGCCCCAGGGACCACCCCCTGACCTCAGACCTGCCCTACGCGAGTGTGGGGCCCCTGGAGACCACGGGTTGGACCACCTCTGCCTCTGTGAGTGCTGCCTTGGGCTCCCTCTGTGGCAGAACCCAAAGAGCCCTTCTATTGCACCTGTAGTTCTCAAAGTCGGTTCCTCAAGGCCCCCCTGGGGAGTCCCACACCCCTTTTGGGGCAGATGGACTTGCCGAGTGGGATTGCTGGGGATCCAGGCCCCATGCCGGCTTGGATCACAGGAGCTTGTCTTTGATCTGCTCCATTTGTGGGCCTCCTTAGAAGATTCCAGGAAAGGAACAGCCAAACTAAACCAGCGGCCGTGGAGTGGAGTCTAACTCAGCACAGCGCCCCCGTGTGTTTTGGAGCAGAACTGCGCTCCGTGGTGTTTTCAATGACTGATGTGTCAGTCAGCCTCCCTTCCCAGGCGCCTCTTAGTGGCTCCAGACTGCCAACCTTTTGCCAAGAGCTTAGCCATTTGCACTATCCAGGGACCACTTAAAAACCAGCTGCTGTTGGGTTGACTCCAATCACGAGTAGAGCTGTGCTCCGCGGGGTTTCCCACGGCTGGCTTTTCAGATTCCCAGGCCTTTCTTCCCAGGGACTTCTGCGTGCTTGAACCCCCAACCTATCAGTTAGCAGTGGAGGACCCTGACTAAAGCCCTCCAAGCACTAGCGATCTTGTCCGCCTCCTCACTTGGTGCAGGATCATCTCTGAGAATTGAGGGCTGAGGCCTGGGTGGGGTGCTGGGGACACGAGGTTGCCTGGACCTGCCTCTGCTTTCAAGATGAGCTCAGTCCAAGCCCCGGCTTGCAGGCCTGCAGGGCCCGGGTGCTCACTGGGCCAGGAGTTTCATTGCCAGACCACTAGGACTGTTGGACAATTACCCTTGTGTGCTCTTTTATCCCCTCTGACCTCCCGACCGCTCCCCAAGACCCTCCCAGCACCCAGGCCAGGTGTGCTCACCCACAGGAAGTAAGAGGTCAGGCTGCGTCCCACCCAGTCCATGATGTTGAAGAGAAGGAAACAGCAGATGGGGTTGAAGAACTGACCTGGAGAGAGAGTGAGCTGGTGGGTCACCCGGCTCCTGAACCCTGCCTTCCCGCTCTCTCTTCTTCAGCCCCCCACCCTGCCCCCTTCTGCTCCCCAACACTCACTCCATTTCCCGGGACTGGTGGAGCTGGTCACCATGGCTGTGATGGCGGGGAAGACGGACAGAGTGACTGTGAAGACCAACACAAGGCACAGCGCCGTCAGCCAGATCTGGGAGCCGGAGGCAGGGGTGTGAGCCGGCGGGGCAATCCTAGGCCCGAGGTCAGCCCCACCCTCCTGCCTGAGCCCTGGTCCGGGAGTAGATAGGCCCCACTGTGTCCCAGACCCAGTGTGTGCCCTGTGACTGCGGGGTGGACAACGGGAGTACTAAGGCTCCAGTCCATTCTAAGATTCTCTGGTTGTCGGTATCCTCAGGAAGGACTGGCCTCCCCTGGGCCCCTGTGGTGGCTGAGGCAGGGACAGGATGGCCAGGACAGGAGGGAATAGCCCCCTGTTGGCCAGGGATGGAGGGGGTTAGATCCTGGCCAAACCTTTTGGAAGACTGTGAAGACAGACGGCTTCCCTGGCTTCTGGGGCTCCTCTGGCGCCTTCTCAGGGGTGAGATCTAGCGTCAGCGCTGGCTCCTGGGGGCTGTTGGGAATCCCATTCCTCTCATCTGGGCAAATGAGGAGAGCAGGGTCACGGCCTGGGGTCCAGGTTTTCTGACAGCGACACCCAGTGGGGCATGACCCCAGCAGACAACACAGTAACCCTCCTCCAGGCCAGAGTGAATCAGAGGGACTAGTTCATGATAGAAATATCCACAGCTAGTGTTCTGAAGCATTGTACATACGCTGCCTCATCACCATCACTGTTCAAACAAAGAGGCCAGGGCTCAGAGAGGTGAAGTGACTTGTCTAAAGACACACAGCTTGGATGTTGTGAAGCAAGGGTTTGAACCGGGAAGCATGTGGATCCAGAGCTTATGTGCTTCCATTTTCCAGAGGAAGAAACTGAGGCCCAAAAGGTAGCAGGGATGACTTAAACCCACTACCTTCCCTTCATGTCTCTGCCTCTGCTCACACAGTTATTGGGGATGGGGGCTCTGGTTGGGGAGAGGGGGAAAATGCTTCCCAGAGAGGTGCTCTGGCCTTCTCGGGGTGTCCCAGCTCCCCAGCAGGTCCCAGGACTCACCAGACTGGAGAAGCTCAACTTTGGTCTCTAGCTCATGAGCTTGGGGCTGGGATGGCTTCTTGGCCAGGTGGTAGCGGGCAAACTCCTGCAAGGGAAGGAAAGCAGTGGCCCTGCCTGGCATGGGCTCAGCTGCCTGGACCCCTCCTCACACCTTTGGCTTAGAACTGGGGTCCCCCAGTGGCACACTTCTTTGGGCCTAGGTCCCCTCTGTCTCCCCTGGCCTCTCTCAGGGCGTCAGACTCAGAGCTGTATCTGAGCTATTCTGAGGTGGGATCGTGAGCCCAGTAGCAAGACCGACAGGGCCAGATAAGCTCACCAGATGGGACAGGCTCAGGTAACACACAATAGACATAAGGATGCCCACACAGGGTGTGATGAAGTACCCCAGGGCGGAGGTCTGGGCGTCCACGCCACCTACGGTAGAAATGTCAGCTGCAGAGAAGAGGGACCTGGTCCCAGAGGCTGTCATAGGGCCTCCAGCTCTTGCCACTCTTCCCATAATGCATCCCTCAGGTTCATCTCCCAGCCCTTCCCCCACTTCCTGCACTAACAAGCTCAGCACTCTTGTGCAGTGCCCCAGACCAGCCCATCTCATCTCTCACTTTTCCCTATTAGGTCGTTTTTGCTGAGCACGTACTATGTGCCAAGAGCTTTCTCATATTGCGTGCTCTGTACAGTCTGAGTGGGAGGAGCTTTAATAACCATGCAGGTGGGAAAACCATAGCACAGAGAGGTGGAGTGCTTGAGCAGCAGAACTGGGATTTGAACCCAAGCCCATAGGAATCCCAAACCCCTCCTCCCTGGACTCAACCTCAGCCAGCTGCCACACACCAGCACTGAAACCCAGGAGTCCTGGCCCTGGCCCCAACTTAACCTAATCCTCACTGGTCACTCTCCCTCAATGGCTGAACCCAGCAGCTGCACTCCCACGTCCAACCCCCACCTCCCTGGAACCCAGGCATCTGGCTCCTGGCACACCCTCTCTCCAGCCCAGAGCTGCCCCCAGCTGGCCCAGTCCACTCACTGGCCATAGACAGAAGCATGGCGAGAGCGGCGAAGATACCAGCCAGGCCCTGGCCGCTGAGAAAGAGGGTGCTGTAGGTGCGGGGCATGGTGCCCACCTGCCCGAAGAGGCTGCCTTGCAGAATTGCGCCGAAAGCTGTGGGGGAGACAGGAGGGGCTCAGGGTTCCCGAGGTGGCTCCAGGGTACACAGGGGACTGGGGGCTAGGTTGAGCCTCCCCAGGGACTCTGGGAGCCATGCCCCCCACTCCTTTCTGAGGTGCAGCCACAGGTCTGGGGGGGCTGGCAGCTAGGCAATCTGCTTACAGTGATGTCTGCTCTCTCTCTGGGCCTCAGTTTCTTCATCAGGGACATGAGTGACAGTGGTGCTGTCTTTCTCCCCTTCTGGGATATGCTGGGCCCTTTCGGTTACGAGGAGGAGGCTGGCTGAGTGGGGAGGCGGGTGGGGGCAGAGGTGCTCACAGTTGATGAACCAGATGGAGGCCATGGTGATGGAGAAGAAGGTCCCAGGGTTCATGTCCACCTTGACCAGCACCGCCGTCAGGGCGAAGAGCAGCAGGATGACCAGCAGGCTGCCCAGAATCCTCACTGTCTCCGGGATGCTGTTGGGAGCAAGGCAGTGGCGTCAGCCAGGCCCGGGCCGGGCAGGGGAGCCCGTGGCGGCAGGGCAGGGTGGGGGAGTGCGCTCACCACTGGTACAGGAAGGAGTTGAGCAAGGTGAAGAGCAGGAGTGGCAGCTGGGACAGCAGTGTCATCCAGTTGTTGAAGCTGAAGGTGTCCACGGGCTCCGTGTGGTTGGTGCCCAGGGGCCCAGCTGTGCTGTTGGCCTCTACCAGCCGTCCCTGGAAGTACTGACAGGACAGGGCTGCAGGGTCACTCCTAGGCCTCAACCCACAGCCACCCTCAGGATCCCTGCCCCCAGCCTCCCCTCCCCCACCATTCTTGTGATTGCTCAGTTCATGTCTTTGGGGACCTGTCTGCCTTGTCGTTGTTCCATCCCAGGCACCTGGCACACAGTGGGAGCTCCGTGAGTGTGTGCTAAGTTGGGGGGCTGAGGTCTGGCATAGAGCCCAAGCCCAGAGGAGCCCCAGCGGGTGACCCCGCTCCGTCTCTGGGTCACCCTCCCTTCAGTGTGCTGTCTCCAGCCCCTCCCCCTCTCCTGTAGCAACTCCTGGCGTCATTCATTCTGTGGGTATTTACTGAGCACCTACTGTAAGCCAGGCTTGGCCTCGATACTGGGCTCTGCATTCCCCCCTGGAATATAAGCCCCAGACCCACTGCCATCAAGTGAATTCTGACTGCAAATGCCCTGCGGGCTCCCTGTTGTCCAGGCATAAAACGCCCCCAGTCCAGACAACAGAACCAGGTCTGAGCCCCCGCTGGACCCCAACTCCTGCTTCAGGCCTGCTCAGCCCCCGCAGCCCAGGCTCCGGACTTGTTCTGAACAGGTTGCCTGGGCGCTTTTGCTAGCTGTGACCACCACCTGGAAGGCTCATCCTCTCTTCCTATCACTCCCTCCCCCACCTTTGCCCAGCCAACTCCCAAGTCACAGCCCACCTCTCCTAGGAAGCACTCAGTCCAAAACCAAAAATCCACTGCCTTGGACCCCCCATAGGGTTTCCAAAGCTGTAAATCTTTACAGAAGCAGACTACTTCACCTTTCTCCCAAGAAGCTGTTAAGGGGATTGAACCGCCAACCTTTTGACTAGCAGCCCAATGCCTTAGCCACAGAACCACCACAGGCCCTTGTGGTGGTGTTGTTACGTGCCGTCGAGTCGTCTCTGACTCACAGTGACCCCTCCTTGGGTTTCTGAGGCGGTATCACTATGGAAGTAGATTGCCCAACTTTCTTTCCGAGGAGTTGCTGGTGGGTTAGAACCTCCAACCTTCTGGTAAGCAGTCAAGTGCCTTAGGGACTACATCACCAGCGCTCCCCCACAGGCTCCTGGTTCACCATAAAATAAATACATAAATAAAATCACTCACTGCCATGGAGTCAATTCTGACTCACAGTGACCTCCACTGGGTTTCCAAGGCTGTAAATCTTTACAGAAGCACAGGCAGACTGCCCCACCTTTCTCCCATGGAGTGGCTGATGGGTTTGAACCACCGACCTTCTGGTTAGTAGGTAAATGCCTTAACTACTACATCACCAGAGTTCCTTTGTTAAAAAAACAACCCAAACCCACCCCACTGCCATCTAGTTGATCCTGACTCTTAGCGACCCCCATTGGGTTTCCAAGGCCATAAATCTTTAGGAAAGTAGATTGCCCCATCTTCCTCGGAGCAGCTGGTGGTGGGTTTGAACCACCAACCCTCTAGTTAGCAGTCAAATGTAGTGCTCATTAAATATTTGTCCAGTGAATAAATATAAGTGACGCTGTTGGAAAGAAAACCAAACGTTTTGAATAACTCTGGCTCAGGTAAGTGGGAGGGCAGCCCGCTTCCCCGAGACCCCTGAGCTGGCGACTTGGGCATTTCTCAAAGTTCTCGTGGCTTTGCTCCCCCAGCCTGACGAGAGGAGCGTGCTCCTGGACTTCGTAGCCCGCTGACCAATGGGCGTAATGAGGAGTCAGAGGCAGCGGCGGCGGGGATAGGCCAGACGGGCGAGCCTCTGGTCTACGGCCGCTGGCTGGAGCCCAGGATGGCTTTTGCGGCCGTGGGGCTGTCACTGCGCCGCGGGTCTCACCGGGATGGCGGTGATGAAGAAGTTCCAGGGAAGCAGGGTGCCCAGGCCCAGGATGAAGAAGCTGATCCCGACTAGGTGGTAGCTGTGGGAATCAGTCAGAAGGTCACCCCGAGGACTCCCCGGCCGCCCCTCCTGCCTCCCAGGCGCCCCCTCGGAGAGCGAACTACAAGCCCCATCACCCCCGCTCAGGCGGTCCAGGGCGACGGCTGATGGGAATTGTAGTTCCGCCGGGTCTCCTGTGCGCCTTGGAGCTCCCGAACGGAGCGGGTGCCCCACCCGTCCCCCGGGTCCCTGCACGCCCTCCACGCACCTGTCCTGCGGGGAATCTCCCCGCGCCATGGCCGCCGCAGCGGGACGCACCACGAGGGAGGGGGAAAGCCGCACGTGCACCTACGCCGGGGCCGAGGGCCGGAGACCCGGAGGCTGCGTCCTGCCCGCGGCAGACTCAGGCTGGCGGGTCCGGGCTCCTGGTAACCCGCAGAGCGGGTGAGGTGGGTGCCGGGCGGGAGCCCCGGGCGGACTCCAGCTGGTCTCAGCTTCCGCTGGCTTGGACCTCGGCTCCGCCCCCGGGGCGGGGACAGAGGGTCGCAATCACTCCTCCTGCCCCTCTCCGCGAGGGGACTCCGGGCAGGGGCGGCGCAGACCCCCGCCCTCCTCTCGTGGCCGACTCCCCGCGCCTTCCCGGGACGGTCTAGAGGCGACTGGCTCTGGAAGGTCGCGGCGCCCCGCCTCGCCTGCTCCCAGCCTCCATGCTCCTTGGCGGGCAGCAGTCCCGGCACCGCAGGAGCGGGGGGAGGGGGTCCCCACCCCCAGACGAGGGCGCCCGGGGCTCCGGAGGCCGCTGTCGGGGCGCCGCGCTCTCGTTCTTGCGGAACCCCCGCCAAGTGCGCCACCCGAGCAGGCCCTGCGCCCGAGCGGGAATTGTGCAATAGCGACCGCCGGTCGCCTGCGGACCCAGCAGGCCGCACCGAGCGGGGTCCCCGGGGAGGCCGAGGAGGAGACCCGGTGCCAACGCTGGTGGAGCCCCCAAGTGGATCGAGGAGATAACGGGACAGACAGACCTCCCTGCCTGTGTGTGCTTGCGGCCTCGCCGATCTTAAGCGCGCACAGCCGGGCGAGGGCCCGCCGAGGAGTCCGACAGGGCTTTCCCGGGGCCGTGAGGCTTAAGATCTGCGAAGCCGCGGAGCTCCGCAAAGGCTCGCGAGGGAAGGTGACGCGGAGGTGAGCCCAGGCTTCCTCCAGCTTCCTCTCGGTTCTTCCGCCGCCGCCGCTCAGCGGGATTTAAACAAGAAACAACATTACTCTTGGCTCTTTGCACCATATCCAACCAGACATTTAAAATACACCCACCTCTCACTTTTTTTAACTTCTTTCTGTGAAAAACTGAAAAGATTATAACCATGCACGTTTGACATTAATTTGCTTAGACTAATTCATCATTTTGTGAATGGGTTTGGTTTCTTTGGTGTCGTCCCACTACTCGTCTGGGCTTGGGTCATTCGTGTTTAACGTATCAAATCTGTTCTTGAGATTGTCTCTAAATTCTGATGCGTTGTACTCAGGTGTACTTTGGTTCTTCTGGACCTGTTTTGATTTTCTTCAGCTTCAACTTGAACTTGCATGTGACCAGTTGATAGTCCGTTCTGCCGAATGCCTCCGGCCGCGTTCTGACATTGAGCTTCTCCATGGTTTGTTTCCACAGGTGCAGTTGATTTGGTTTCTGTCTATTCCATCTGACAAAGTCCACGTGTATAGTTGTTGTTTTTGTTGTTGAATAAAGGTATTTGCCATGAATAAGTTGTTGCTTCTGCAAAATTCTATCATGCAGTCTGTGTCACTTCTATCCCCAAGGCCGTATTTTCCAACTACTAATCCTTCAGGAGCTCTGGTGACATAGTGCCTAAGAAAGACATTTGGCTGCTAATCAGAAAGCTGGTGGTTCAAACCCACCAGCCACTCCTCAGAAGGAAAGTTGGGCAATCTACTTCTGT